CCATACGGTATGCAAAAGGGATTGTCTACCCAAGTGGGGGAAGAGAGGCTGACTGCCTATATAATAGCCCTAGGCAAGCAGCTCAGAGCAATTGAGAAACATATAGCTGGAACCTGGAGCAGAGGGCTGGATGGGCCAGTGCATGACATACAGCCTGGAGATTATGTGTATGTTAAGTCTCTTACAGAAAAAAACTTTAGAACCACAGTGGGAAGGACTGTTCCAGGTGCTCCTCACCACCTTCACTGCAGTTAAGATCAAAGAACAGAGTGCCTGGATTCACCATTCTTGAGTGAAGAAAGCTCCAAAAGCCCCTTGGAAAGTAACACTGGGTGACAATGAACTGAAACTAAAATTTACTCGAGCAAAATGAGTACACTGCAGTTGGGAGTATTCCATGATTTAGTTTGCAAAAACCTAGTCAATAGAATCATTCTGTTTGTTTTACTTGTAGCCACAAGTGTAATTCAAGAATTAGAAAGCACCTCTAGCCAGAAAAATGCTGAATAGCCTTGGTCCCAAGCTTTCATTCAATCCACTAGATTCATGAGAAAATACTCTGATATATGGGATTTAAACCTATCAACTGTGGTTATGCATGTAACCAAGTAAAAACAAGTATATAAAAAGCAAGAATAGCAAAGACAAAGGTTATGGACCCTTCAAGGAACTATCGGAGAAGTAATCAAGGTAAAATGCCGGATGATTAATAGGACTAACTATGAAAAGGCAGTCCAAATTAGTGTTTCAGCTTCTCCTACGGACAAGCACTGAGAAGTTTGTGATAATTTAAGTAAATTAGATTGTTGGTATAATTTTACGTTGGTACAAACAGTGGATGTGGTCTGCCTTTGGGGTTGTGATGATAAAAGGCTAACATTCAAATTTAGAATGAAAGCTGTGCCTATTGCAACAACCAAATCAACTGTAACCCAAGCTTAGACCACACCACCTAAAACTGAACCTAAGATTAAATCTAAAATTTATGAACTTGGCCCATATGTAATAAAGAACACTGGACAACAACAGCTGTTATTTAACCTAGAGTGGTCTCTCAAACATATTGAATTACTAATGAAAACTAACATTTCTAAGGTTCAGCCAGCCTGCTCCTCTTTCCTAAAGACATCATCTAAAGGCTGAGCAACATGGTTACAAAAGCAAGTACACTTCAGAGACAAAATGAGAAGAGACTTAACTGGAATATTAAGAACAAGGTTGGGGGTATTAAATAAAATATATTCATAAATATTAATGAATAAATTAGCCACTGCCACAAATAATTTAACAAAACTAAAACAGCCCCTACAATCCTATTTATTAGCATTAGGAACTAATCAATGGGAAATTTCTAAAATATTACCAAGGTGGAAGGAGGCTGAGGACCAAGACCACAAGCTAATAATTAAAGCACTAAATATAGCCCAAAATAATGTGTCATTAGCCCTCAGCTGCATACAAGCACAATTACAGATACAACCAATAGTCACTTCAGTAATAAAAGAAAGAAGTGAAGGTGCTTTTCCAATTGAAATTCAGAAAATTGTCTGAGACAATGCAAACAATTTAAAAAGAAAACTTCAGTCTTGGTAGACTCTGGTAAATTTTACTTATGACTCTACCACCGAAATAGCTACTGCTTTTGTGCTAACTATATGCAATGCCACAATTTACAATATCCACCCTATTATTACATTAAGATTGAATCATGAAAGGACAGTGCTCTACCCCTCAGAGCATAGAGCATGGGCCCAGATGATGAATGAGAGGTGGCAAGCTGTGAATTTAGAATCTTGTGTTACCCGAGAACAACAAAGGTTTATCTGTGAAGCTAACACAATTGATGCACAGGACATATGTTTAGACACTGAGCAAAGCATCTGCCACTTTGAGATTCATCCAAACACAAGTGAGATGCGTGTGCTTGTATATATTGGCCTAAACTGTGTATGTCTAAGAACTACATGTGTTTCTGTAGAAATAGATGATAACAATGTAGCCTTGCCTATTAAGAACCATTCTAATTTTTGTATTTGTAATTTTGTTAAAATTGTAAGGCGTGATTTTTCATATTTGGCACTGGTTACATCCCACCACTTGATAAGATCTAACTACACAATATACCATAAATTATCACCTACACCCATTGGAATGAACCTGACATTACTAAGACAGCTAATGAACCACCAAGACTTAGCAAAAATCCTGAAAGATCCAGGAAAATGAGCAAAAGAATCTGATTACTGTCTATTATAATATAAAAGAGATAAGCAGAGTATTACAAAGAGTAAACCAAAACACAAATCATCACTAGTAAAATGCGCTCTTTGGATAGTAACCAACTACAACTAAGATTTTGAACACACTTTGCCACCCTCTCATTGTCATACCAGCATTAGTAGGTGTAAGTCTGGTGCTATCGATTGCAATGCTTGTTTAGAACTAGAGGATGTTAAAACGAATAGCAGTACTGACCTCCCTAGCAGCAGCATATGGTAATGCAATGAAGAATACATACCAAGGAGGGCAAACTATGAAAATAGACCAAAAAAGAGAAAGACATCAGTATTGCTAAATAAAAAAATTTACTAATTTTCTAGAAAAGGGGGTACTGAAGCAGAGAAATTAGGAATTATTAAAAATTTATAAAATTTCTTTGTGTAAAAGAAGGGGCTACAAAACCCGTGTGAAATGCTGACTGTTCCCATAATAGCAGGAAGAGAAAGACTATAGGATGAGATAAGGAGCTGGAATACGTAAACAGGATACATGCCTAAATGCACCATAGAATGAGGGGTTTCCTTGGGTTCTTTTGGACCCCTAAGCCAGAGGAAATAGAAAGGGGGGAGTCAAAAGAACTGAAGGGAGCATGCACAAGGAGACAAGGTAGAAAGTTCAGCCGAAGGAAAAATGCTGACTTCAGCCCCAAAAATCCCCAGAAGACCACCAGAGTGACCAACAAGGAGCAGTGCGCAGCTGCAAATAGGCGTGGAACTAATTTTAATACAAAGTGGGGACAGGCGGGGTTAGCAAATGAATATGTATTAGGTGTACTGTGTAATCTTAATTTGTAGACAATAAAAAGGGAGAAACAAGTCTCCAAAGAGTGCATGCCTTTGGAGGAGATATCCCCCCATGCACCTCAGCGCTGAATAAGTTCATACCTACTATTTTAACTACTCTGTGAGTTATAGAGTTCTTTCTGTCCACATATCACCCCACCCCTCCCTCCTCCCAGCTGTGCCTCCTCCCCCGGCACTGCAGGGACAGAGGGAATGGGGCCATGGTCACTCCATCCCCCGGGGCTTTTCCCGCTGCTCAGGGACAGGAGTCGTTCCCCTGCTGCACCCTGGGCTCTTTCCCACCGGAGACTTCTCCAGAAACTTCTCCACCTGAGTCCATCCCATGGGGAATAGCTCCCTCACAATGCTGCAAGATGGGTCACTCTGCCACGGCGTCAGGCCTTCTGAAAGGAATAGGCAAGGAGACCAGCTCCTTTTTAATGCCTTTATTGAGGTCAGCTCTAGGTGGGGGAGCTCAACCACTGCTGCTCCCAATGGACAACCCAGAGGAGGAGATGTTCAGCTTTGCCACATGGCAGAGCTGGGGCTTCCGTCCTCACGAGAGTCCCTAAGAAGATACTCCCTTGTTGTAAATCTAGGGTAGTTATGGATATCAAGTATTGTGTAGTTATGGCAACAAGGTCTGGGACATAAGTTCCTGAATGTTCTCCCTTGCTCCTCAACATAGTTTGGAATCTGGTTTTGTTCCATGGCTCGCTGATTCTAGGGGTCTTTAGATGTTAATCCCACTTCTCCTGGGTGCTACCCCCCATGGGAGTTCGGCTCATCTACACACTGGGTGCTGTCATCGGTGCCATTGAGGAGTGCTGGGAGCAGCAGAGGCAATAGACAAGGCCAGATGGCAATTAAGAAGGCTGGTACAACAACACTGATACTTAACAAACATCACACAACATGAGGTATATTTACAAAGTAGGCACCTTACGGTGACAACATTCTACTGTACAAATTATAAACATCTTTGTGTAATGATCAGGAGGTCACGATTTACGCTTTACAATCCTGAAGCTGAATGTCTCCTGAGGAGGTCTGATCACAGAGAAGAATGGGCCGCTTGCAGGCTGACCCTGTTTGGAAAACCTGCTCCTCACCCCAAGCCTCACCATATCTGACATTGCCCACCTGTGACTGACATCCCAAAACATTGAAAACATTTATCCATTTTTCTTTAGAAATAAAAACTAATGAATTAATAAAAATAAAATTTTAATTTTCATAATAATATTATTCTATATTTTTATAACCTAATTTTTATATTTATATAAAATAATTGATACATTTTCAGGGACAAAAAACATTACTGGTCTTTGGTTCTAAGTACCACAATTACCTTCATTCATTAATTGACCACTGTTTCTCCCTCTTTATTGTAATTACTCCTATTTTTAGTCCGTTAATAATTTTTTTTTTAATTATTGTCAGACAGGGTAAAAGGGACCACTTTGGGGTCCATGGAGGCTTTCCTGGGGAACATTTGGGGCAGTTTTGGGTCTGGGGAGGGAATTTAGAGAGAACTTGGGGGTCTGGAGGACACTTGGGGGAGCCAGGTACGCACTTGGAGGGGCACTTAGGGATTCTGTGGGAAATTCGGGGTCCAGGGGAGCACCTGGGGGTCCAGGGGGGAAGCTGGAGGTCAGGGAGGGGAATCTGGGGGCCCTTCGGGTTCCGGGCGGGCACTTGCGGGGCTGTAACGGGGCTCTCTGGGGCGCGAGGGATGATGGGAGTTGTAGGCGCCGGTAAAATGAGGTTTAATGGGGCCGCGGAGCATCACGGGAGTTGTAGACACAGCTCCAATGGGTTCCGGTGGTGCGCGGGGCATGACGGGGGATGAAGTCCCGGCTGGAATAGCGCTCTATGGGGGCCGCGGAGGATGATGGGAGCTGTAGTCCCGGAAGTGGCTCGGAAGGTGCAGTTCGCGGTGCGGAGAGGCACTTGGGGGAACACTTTTGCGCCCGAGCCGTGGCTGCAGGTCCTCGGGGCAAATGTATACGGCTCGGGAGTACTTGGGGGGAACCTGGGGAGCTCTAACCGGGCTCTTTCGGGCGCGGGGCACGGCAGGAGGTTTGGGTACGGAACTGTGTTGTGAGATACTCTGATAGCGCGGGGGATGATGGGAGATGAATTCCCAGCAGTGGCTGGAAGGGGCCTCAGTGGGATCGGGAGCATTCAAGGATTTTGGAGGGTTTGGGGGACACTTATGGGACATATGGGGGGCGATACCGGGGTTCTGGGGAGCACAGGGCATATTGCCAGTCCCTCCCATTTCCTTCCAGCATGATCCCATTTGCTCTCAACCGCACCCAGTCAGCCTCAGTATAGCAGGACTCACTGCCAGTATGATCCCAGTCTCTCTCAGTGTGATTGCAGTCTCTCCTGCCATGGGCCCAGCTGCTCCCAGTATGATCCCAGTATTATGTCAGTACTCCCCCAGGACAATCCCAGTCAGTGCCAGGATGATCCCAGTATGATCCCATTACAAACCAGTCCCTGCCAGTGCTGCCACTCCTGGGATCCCCCAGCCCTCTCAGCATTCCCCCCTCCCAGATCTCCCCAGAGGAGCCCCAAGGGCTGGGAATCCCCAGCCATGGTCCCCAGCCAGCCCCAGGTTGGATCTGCAGCCCCTAATTTTCCCAGTTTCCCTCTCCTTTTCCATGGGTTGGGTTCCCCTCACCCCCAGCAGGTGGGAGCAGCTGAGAGCCCCGTGCTGCCCATCCCGACCTGTTCTGGTTCCATCCCCACTCCTGCCATGGGCTGTGAGGGGTTCGGGAGTGGGGCACCGAGGGTGTCGCTGCTTCTGGGGGAGGAGGAGGAGGGATGAAAGAGGAGGAATGAAGAAGGAGAGTGAGAAAGGATGGAAGTAGGAGAAGGAGGTGGGGTTAGGGAGGAGGAGGAGGAGAAATGGAAAAGGAGGAGTGGGAGGAAGAGGAAGAGGAGGGACAAAGAAGGATCAGGGAAAGGAGAAGGAAGCATGAGGTTGTGCGCTCCCTGAATTCACAGCCCCCCACCTGTGGGATCATCATCCCCCCATCCCACAGCTGCCCAAGGAGGGGAAGTTCAACCCAGATATCCTGGGTGGTCTCTGGGTTGGGTTTTTTGTGGGAGGGATGTTTGGAGAATGAAGAACTCCAAAGCTGAGTGGAAAATGCCCCTTGGAGGGACATTGGGGGTTCCCAGTGGTGGCTGCCAGCAGAGGCAGCCTGGAGGAGCAGAGCCCTGTGGCCCCCCCCGGACCCCAAAATGGGGAGCCCAGAGAGGGGGAGCGCTGTGATTTATGGGACCCTCAGCAGCCTGGAGAGGGGCAGGGGGGACTCCTTGGACCCCCTGCATCCCAAAGTAGCGAATAAGGAGAGAAAGGACTCTGGAACCTAAAAACCCCCACCATCCCTATGTGTTGAGATGAAAATGGGGGGAACTTTTTGGATTGCTGGCACTCCCAGCAGCCTGGGGAGGGTCGGGACCGAGTAGAAGGGGGACCATGAGTGCAAGTGTGACCCCCAGCAGCTGGGACAGGAGGGAAACCCTGAACACCAAATGGGAGAGACCAGAGATGGGGAACTCCTGGGAGGTATTTTCAAAACTAAAACTTGGTGTTTTGGATATTTATATGGGCACCAGATGCCCAGTGACTTCAAGAGGTGGACTTGGGCAGAGGAACCCCCTAACCCAATGTGCTCATGCACTGTATTTTTGCTCAAACCAGGATTTCTCATTCCCAGACCTTGGCCGGATGGAGGAGGAGGCAGCGATGAAGAGGAAGATGCCCCAGGACACCCAGGCAGGTGAGGAGGAAGTCAGTGCCCCTTTCCCCCCCTCTCCTGCTCCATCTCCCAGCCCAGCATGACCTACGGCTGCAGGACAACCCCGCTGCCGACGCCGTCCTGCCGGGGATACACTGGGGGGATCTCCTTCCCCTTCCCTCTGGCAGGGAGGCAAATCACATCCTCTCTTTGTCCTTCCTCCCCCAGATAAGGAGCCAAGGACAGAGACCAGGGAGGAGAAATCCCTGGGGCACAACCTCATGGAAGAGGCCATTTTGAGCAGCTCCATGGTGCAGGAATCCAGTGGGGAGGAAAATCCCCAGAGATCCTGCAGGAGGAGGGTCTCCAAACCCAGCCCAGCATGCTCTGAGGAGGAAAGATCCACCCTGTGCCGGGAAGGCGGCCGGAGATCCAGCCAGGGCTCTGAGCTGGTGGTCCATGAGCAGCTTCAGGATGGGGAGAAGCCCTACAAGTGCTTGGAGTGTGGGAAGAGCTTCAGCCAGAGCAACCGCCTGATCTGCCACCAGATGATCCACACTGGGGAATGGGCCTGTGAGTGTGAGAAATGTGGGAGGGGCTTCAGCTTCAGCTCCAACCTCATCGTCCACCAGCACATCCACACTGGGGAGAGGCCCTACGAGTGTCCTCAGTGTGGGAAGAGCTTCTCCCAGAGCTCCAACCTGACCATCCACCAGAGGATCCACACTGAGGAACGGCCCTACAAGTGTGGGGAATGTGGGATGACCTTTAGCTGGAGGTCCCAACTGACCATCCACCAGGTGATCCACACTGGTGAGAGACCCTATGAGTGTACTGAGTGTGGGAAGAGGTTTCAGACCACCTCAAATCTCCTCATGCACCAGAGGATTCACACAGATGAGAGGCCCTTCCGCTGCCCTGATTGTGGGGAGGGCTTCAAGCAAAACTCCACCCTCATCACCCACCGGCGCATCCACACTGGGGAGAAGCCCTACGAGTGTGGGGAATGTGAGAAGAGCTTCAGCGACAGCTCCAGTCTGATCCGCCACCAGAGGATCCACACTGGGGAATGGCCCTACAAGTGTGGGGAATGTGGGCAGACATTCAGAGAGAGGTTCAAACTGATCATCCACCAGCGCATCCACACCGGGGAGAGGCCCTACAAGTGTCCCCAGTGTGGGAAGAGGTTTCAGACCAGCTCCTATCTCCTCCAGCACCAGAGAATTCACACAGAGGAGAGGCCCTTCCGCTGCCCTGACTGTGGGACGGGGTTCAAATACAACTCCAACCTCATCACCCACCGGCGCATCCACACTGGGGAGAGGCCCTACAAGTGTCCCCAGTGTGGGAAGAGCTTTACCCAGAGCACAGCCTTGGCCCAACACCAACAGAGGCACCAGTAAGGGAAGCCCTACTAGTGCCCCAAGTGCAGGAAGAGCTTGGTTCGCTGCTCCAGCTTCTTTCCCCCCTTGGAGGACTCAAGTTTTGCAGAGCCCTAATGACCCATGTTCCCAGTGATCTGCATTGGGAGGACACTGGGCTGGTGGTGCTTTTGTTTTGGCTCTAATTTTCTTCTGATTCATCTTCATCCCTTTAAAACAGACAAAATTTGGGTAAAAATCAACAAATTCATCAAAGGCATCTAAAGCCTCACATTTTACTAGTGCTTCCAGGAAATCTGGGAGAAACTTGGGAGGGTTTTGGGGGATATTTGGTGTAGTTGTCTCCATTTCTTGGCACTCAAAAAGATGAGAGAGTTTGATCTGTCACCTCAAAATCACTCAATGCCATTGAAAACTACTCAGTCCCATGCCAAAATTACCAGATTCCACAGCCTTTCAGAGTGTGATGCCGTAAGTTTTAGCTTTCATGTTTTTCATATTCTGCGCTGCCTAGGTTTGTAGTTTGTAGTTTGTAGAACTTCATATCAAGTGTTAGTGAGCTCTCTTCACAGAGTAGGTAGACAAAACAATTCCTTTTCTAGCTTGATACAAAGGACAGCTGTGACGAGTTTCAGGCCCAAAAGCATAAACAGGGGTGGACTGAAGACAGAAAACAAGAAAGATGGGACTTCATCTTGTGAAGCGGTAATTGGACCATGAACCCAAATGTCCTGGTTTAGGGCAAAATTTGGGAGAAAACCTCCAGTGGGGCTCCCCCCAGGAAGCAAACCCACGTGGCTCTTTTTTTCCCACCCCCCAACCGGTTCGGGAAGAGATTTCTCTGAGAGAAGTGGAAAAAACCTGTTTATTTCACAGGCACAGCACTACCCAGCACAAAAATGAATGATATCACATTACAAAACCTCTTGCCCTTCAGAAGAGATGACAAACTTCAGAGGGTCTCTTTCCTGTGGGTGTTCGCTCTGTTATCAGTCCCTCTGGCGCTGGAAAATGCCGCTGCCCAGGCTGGGCTCCCGGTAGTCCACGGGTGCAAGCTCCCGGTGCTCCCCCGAGTCCCCAGTCCAGAGCAGGTTCGATTCGTTTCAAAAAAAGGGAAAGAAAGCAGTCCAGGAAGACCTCTCTGCTCCGGCTAGTTGGAAAGCCAAGGCGATCTGTGTCTTGTTGTCTGTCTGTGCTGTAGTCAAAACTCCCGATGCTGGGGGGGAGCAAGTACAGTCTCTGATAACAGACTCGGTGCTTCTTTTCCACTCACTTTTACTCTTAGATGGAATTTTAAGAATACAAAACCTGTGTCTGGGTTAGGTGGACGAATGGGGATACGATTTAACATCATAATCAACCCAGGACACCAAATATGCAGATGGACCTAAATGTGAGACCTTGTGCTCAATTGTCCATTTTTGTGACCATTTTCAGTCCATCCTGGGTATAGCCCTGGCCAGGCTCTTGTACTGCCCCAGGTATATCCTTTAAGGCCTTGTAATAAACGTTATTCTTAACTCTGTCCAGCCTCTGTTCTAGGTCAGCCTTCCCAAGGCATCAGGTGAAATGGGGTTGGAAGGGGACTGGGTGAAGTGGGATGCAAATCAGGAGGGGTGAGATGGGCATTGGGTGGGGCAGGATGGGTGGGATGGGGATCGGGAAGTGTGAAATGGGAGAAATAGGGCTTGGGAAGGGAGTCTTGCTGTGGGATGGGAGGAGCAGGAGTGGGATAGGTTGTGGTTGGGATTTGGGATGTGGGATGGGGTCTGGAATGAGACAGCCAAGGTTCAAGGATGATGAAGGGAGGAGGAGTTTTCTATTGAGTGAGTTTTTGGATAGTCCACGTTCTTAAGTTTTTGGGGTTACTCACGTTTCTGAGGCAGTTTTGGGGCACTCCCAAACTGTTGGGAGGTTCCTGAGAGTAGCTCCATAGAGCCCCACTGCCAGGGGTGGTTGCCATGGGCACGAGGTCAGAGCTGTAGGCAGAGTCTGTTGCCTTGGCACTGTGCAGAAAAACGTTTTAACAGAAAAGCATGATATTTTAGTAAAAGCCTGTCTGCATAACCCAGCTTTCAATCCAGGCAACAATTCTAAGGGCAGTGTCCTTGAAGCTCTCCTGGAACAGCAAGAATAAAGAAAAACAATGGCATTGTGTACATGGAAAAGAACGTAAAACAATATGTATTAACGAATAGTAGCTTGTTAAGCCCTGCGAACCCTGTAGGACCCTATAAAATCGTGCTAAAGATATAAATAAACGACATTTGCTATACCTCTATGAGGACTCAGTGAATTGTCTGAGCAGTTTTCCATTACCTGGCACTCTGAACAGGGACCCTTTGTGGGCAAAGGGTACCAGCTCGGCAGATTCACACAGTGTTTGGACGTGGAATGCGGATCAGGGCTGAGGGAGCAGATTCGTGCAGCGGTTGGATGCGGAAAGCGTGGATCGGAGCTGGGTGGCAGGTTTGTGCAGCGGTTGGACGTGGAATTGTGAACCTAAGCTGGGGAAAACTGGGGACGGAGGAGCTTGAGACAGAAGACCAAAGGCAAGTACGCGTCGGCACTCAGGTAGGAGGCGTCGCGAACCTCCCCCCATCCAGGGCTGCTAGTATGGATATAGTTAGCGGCAGCACAAAAACTGCTTCAAAGTGTTATAGTTAAATGAGGGGAAGCAGTCAAGGATAAGGACCTTGAAAAGCTCGTTTTATGGGCTAGAGAAAACGGAAACTTGAAAGTGCCTCCACTGCTTTTTGCAGTGGAAGAATGGAGAGAAATAGGAGTCCAGTTGTGGGAGAAAACAATTACAAGGAAAAGCAAGGACACTCTGTCTTACAGTCTGACTTGGCAGATTATAATTAATACTTTAAAAGACATGAAAGCAGAATTTACCCAGGTTGCGAGCCCCGTAATTCTACCTGCGTCACAGCAGCAGCCGTCTCTACCTCCCACTGCTAGGCGAACATTCTTGGCAATGACGCCCTTGGAGAGAGGGGGAGAGAGTCAGAACAAAGTATATAAGGAGGTGTTCAATGTTTTTAAATTGACTGTGGACCTACAGGGACAACATATTAACTCTACTTTTGAAGAGAAGCCAGATTTAGATCGGTTTCCACCTGATCCAGGGGGGGCATGGGAGGAGCATTGGAGGGTGCGCAGAGAACAAAGGCACCCCCATGACAGAGGCATTGCAGAAGAAGCTCCAAGGCCACACAGGACAAATATCAGCAATTACAGAAACAGTTGAGCAGAAACAGGTGGTTCAGACAGCTTCAAAGGGAGACAAAATAGTCAAAAAATTGCTAACTGTATGGTATCTAGTTCGAAATTCATTACTGTAATTAAAAGTTGATAAGTTCCAATGGTCACCGTTGCTATCACCTGGCCCTGAAAAGCTCTTCGCTTAACATCGCCCGTTTTTGTAAAATCGTGTCCTTTTCCCTCTGTCTGCAAAGAATGAGATAAATATTGAGGGAAAGAACTTAAAAGTTAACTTTATAGTTTTTTTTTGTTTCCGGTTTTCCCCTCTGCAAGTATAAATGGAGGATGTCATTCACACTGCCCCGCCCCCCAGAAGAAGCACTGGGATACTACGCAGTTGGTTAAACAGTAACGATTCGTTGTTTTCTTAGAATGTCTTTATATACCCTTTCAGAATTAATTTTGTGGTTTTTAAGTAATTATGAGTTCTTGCAGTTTTAGAGTTTTACTGGAGAAATTATTGTGACTCTTTAGAAAATTCAAAAAACCTCTCTTTAAAAATGTTTAGAGTAAATATTAACAGATAACAGAAAAAGTTACCTTGCAATAATTAGTTTTAAAACCTAATGTCAAAATATTGAATGATTTACAGCTACTAATAAAATGACCTTCCAATTAATGTTATCTACAGAAGATATTCACGGTTTAAAAAATAATTAGCTAGGAGAACTTCACTGCACAAGACAAAGTTAAGTTAACCATATATTACCCATATGCTTGTGTTTTCCACAATTTTAATAAGGTAATTTCAATGTGAGTCTTTTTGCTATAAAAACACATATAACAGCATATATACCGATTTGGACTTCGGAATTTAATTAAAAAGCGGACTTGATGTTTCTGAAAAGTGCTACAAAAGCTGAATGGCAACTTGCCAAATCCTGTGTTGTTGTGATTTTTCTCTAATAAAACTGCACTTTAAAAATCCTAACAAACTTAAGCATATTCCAAGCAAATCCCTGCTACAAATAAGTATTTTCAGTAACCTTTGTAGTTACTATGAGTTATTCTCAAGGCCAAATTAGATAAAATCATAATGTATTTGTCAAATATTTATAATCTCTATTGTAAATTCATGTTGCTATTATATTGTGTTTAAAAGGTATATACCAAACTTTCAGTTGCCTTTTTGTAATAATAGATTGAGTTATGTTTTCACTTGATAAAGTGTTGATAGAATTTAGCAAAGTTAAGTTTCACTAGGTTTAGGTCTGAGTGTTCTTAAGTTAGGTTTTATAACTTTAGTATTCTTTTGAGGTTAAATTTTGTTATTTCCTTCTGTCAAAATTAATTTCTACCAGGTTTGAATATTGTTTAATTTAAATTGTCTCACGTTTTGTTAAGACACTTGTCTAAACTACGTAGTATAGTTATTTTCCTAGAGAGATGACTATGACTGAAACTGTGATAGAACACTGATAAACACCTGTTTGTGGATGGAAGAAGATACAGTCTGTTGCACCCTTCATTTCATCAAAGGTTTAATTATTTGTTACAATCTCTACTGGTTTTGTTTTCTTTAGGTAACACAAAAGAATAGTGACTGTTAATAATACTAAGAAGTTTAAAAGTTTTTACCTTGTTTCACTTCTTGCCATTGAGACATGAATATTTTGAAAATACTATCTTAACTTCCTCAGACACTTACTGCTGATATATTCATTGTATAATGTGAATTTACAGATTTTATGATGAGTATTATTCACAAGGTATTATTACTATATTTATAGTCGGCTTTCCATATGCTTTACAATTTTTGTGTAATTGCCTTTAAGACACATGTCATTTGAGCTCTTTTTGTTTTCTAACTGCAGATGCATCTCTTTAAACAAGTTATAGAGCTGTTCCTGTACAGGGTTTTCTTACTCTTTGTAACTCCTCCCCTTGTTTAAGAAGGCTTGCTCTTGCCTAATTCAGTGTAGCTTTATTGTTTTTCAGTGCTTCCAGAATTCCAGAAAAACGTATCATTGCTAAAAGTCAGCCACCATGAGAGAAACTTCAGATTAAACCAACTGCTAGATAGTTCTATTGGTCTGTTGCCTAAGACTTCTGATCATTTGCTTTCCACAAATGCACTTCAACAGTTTGCTGTGCTTTAAGCATCCCATAGCTGCTATAATTAAGAACCTTGTTTTGAAAATGAGTTAAGAGACATCTTTCCAGTTTAAAGCCAGGCCTGGTCAAGCCTTGACTTTACCTGGATGAAATGTTTGCCAACAGATATAGATGTTTTCTGTACCAAATCAATATTTGAGTCACTTTTGACTTAGCAATTTGACCCTATTAATATGACAGCTGGATCAATTTTGAAGGGAGCTTGGAGAATCATTTCTGGAGGTGGTTATCCAATCCTTCATTGATTTGAGGTTTGTCAGCTGTTTACAAACTCTGAGATGCTGGTACAGTGTTTTAGTAGTTAACAGTAATTCTATATCACATATGTTATCAGTAATGTTTATCATCTAATTAATTTCTAACTACTGTAAGTTTTTGTTCATTATGTGTATAGTTTT